AAGTAGCCATTTTTGACCTTTTTTCTCTTGTGTACCCTAAAAATTCTTTTGTAACCCTTTCCATGTTTAACCTTAACATTAAAATTTTTCATTTTAAGTTTAGTTACAGGCAGAGTACAGTTTCCGTTGTATTATAAATATTGCTTAAATTATTAAATCACTTTTATAAATGTATCCAGTGGAATATAAATACCACTGCAGTTAGACACCCACCTCTTCCCATTGAAAATGCAAATGTCTATTGAACAGTTAGAAATTTCTTCTTGAACTTGTATTTCCATTTCATTCGCATACCTAAAATTTTACCCTAATGTAATACAACTTTAGGGTTGAAAGTCTTTTATTGATTATACATAATTGTCTATAACACTTTGAAATTTCAGTATGGTTAAATTTTCTGTGACCATAAAGGTTTCAAAGTGTTAGAAGTATTTTTATTCTGGATTGCAGTATTACAATTACTATTAGTACATATTTGACCACAGTAACAGAACATAAATATTGAAAACTATTAAATATGAGAAAATTTGTGTTAGAAATGCATCTCAATTAGAGGATGGAGGAAGCTAGTTCAGGTTTCCACGGATGAATCTTGCTTACTGGTAAAATAAGACATTTTCAGTACCAATTCAATTCAATACCCATTTTTTATTTTTACAGATGTAAACACCAGGAAACTTTGTTTTCATAAATAAGTAGAAAAGAATGAAGTTTTGTAATAGGAACATCACTGAATTCTTTGAATTCCTGAGTTATAACGAAAAGTCATGTAGTGATCTATTATCACAATGATTTCTTAATGATCAGCTGAAACTCAGTTGATTCCTCTTTCAATTTTGTTAAAAGCAAGGACTCAGAAAACTTCTAACTTGCTAAAGGATTTGTCACCCAGTCATTAGAGTCACATACTTCCTCACTATTACCAATACTTGCAATTATCCCTATGGTGCCCCAGAGATGGTTTTTACACTCCATGGCAGCACACTGCAGTCTGACCAGAATGGCTGAGGGTGTGCCTGCCTTTCGTAGAGTGCAAGAACATCATAAAGCACCCCCTTAAGCCAGGTGCTTTCTTCAGCAGCTCAATTTTAGGAAGTGTAATGGAAGCTGAGGATTTAAAACTCAATTCCCTTAAACTATCCTTGTCTAGGTACCCCATGCAGTCTTCATACTCCCAGGGTTATATGAACCCAAACTGCTGACCTGGAGGAGGCAAAGAGTGAGTGCCCCTCTGTTAACAGCATTTCATTCAGACAGCACTGACACGAGCCAAACCCATGAGAGGGAGGATAGTCACCCTCTGAGTAAACAAACCAACCAGGCAAAGGTTCAAAGTAATGTGCTTAGGAATAATCCTAACTCTGAGAATAAAGTGAAAGGCTCTCAACTGTCAGTTAAGATCCAATAACAGGACAGCCTGGGCTCCTTCACTGCATCTGCCCCCACAGCCTGGCACCAAACAGTTGACTGGCCAGCGGGGAACACCTGACCCAAAATGGGCCAATAACATTTTCTCTCCTGGAATTTAGGGCTGGCTGCCAGTAGGTGGACAACCATCTCCTACCCACGTGCAATGAGAAACACAGAAAGCTGGTCTACAGAAACAGAGAATTAAACGGCTGCACAGCCAAGAGAGTGACACAAAAGACAACCACCTTGGTCCTAAAGGTAACCCTATGAGGCCCCAGCTTCACTCAGGTTCTAGAAAATTCCTTCTGTATCAGCTGGTTTTACTGATTTCTGGGACTTGCAGTGAGAAGAGATCTGTCTGGCTCAGACAGGAGACTGCTCTTGAAGAAATCAGCCCATTGGACCAATGACATTTATATAAAGCCTTATCAAAAGTACCCTGGAAATAAGTGGACAAAGTACATGAATAGACAGTTCATAAAAAAAGGATATATAACTTATTTTTAAAAATACATAAAAATAAATTTTTTAAAAAAGATATTCAACATAACTACTTACAATAGAAAGGCAATTTAAACCACAAATAATTTTTATTACTTACCAGATTGGCAAAGATCAAATTGTAACAATCCGTTCTGTTGGTAAAGGTGAGGAGGAACAAGCCCTCTCAACACTGCTAAATAGGAACGTAAATCAGTACGGTATCTCTCAGCGAGGAACAGCTATGGAAATTGGAACGCACATCCTCTTGGCCTTATTAGGTCCCACTTCTAGAGATGATCCTACAAATATATTCAACAACATGTAAAATGACATGTAAAGAAGTTTATGCATTAAAGCAGTATTTATAAAAGCAAAAAATTTAAAACTAGCCATCAAAAAGAGACTAAAATGTGATGCATCACAAAACGGAAAACAATGCAAAACAACGAGGCAGAGAACAATCTCTAAGCTACAAGTGAGTTTTGGAAGATACCATTTAGGCAAAAATAAAACAGATGAGGAAAACGTACCTATCTAGATTCATAGACTGTACCTGAAAGTAAACAGAGGAAACTGGAGTGAGGAAAATACAAGGTCAGCATGGAAAATATCTTGTCTGTCAGAAAGTAGGGAGATGCTCAAAGACTGATAGGGGCATGTCAGTAGAACACAGAAGCCAAATTTGGGCTTCATTTGAGCATCGAAATGAGTAACGACAGAGATGGTTACTACACATTGAATAAGGAAATTACAGTGAAATTTTTTCAAGGGGGACGCCCATCTTCACAGAACAATGTCAACAACGTGGAAGGAATGACAATTGAAAAAATCGCTTTTTCACCCTTAGTAATAAATAATTCAGTCAAGAGTCACCAATGAACACTGAGTGCAGGACTATTGAGGACAGGTTATTAACAGTCTCAAATATCACCCCTCGGAGTACTTACAAATTACAAAGGGCACAGGGTATCTTCACAAAGAAGAAATCTGGCAAGTAACATCTTAACTAAATTATCTAATTTCAAATCACCAATAATGGGACAAACTGGTACCAAGTGCTACCCTGATGAATCTTTCATTGATGATGAGGACACCACATCATCCAGGAAGGATTCCTGACAAAAATGTTTAGCCTGAAACCAATAATGAGACAATCAGACAAATCCAAGTCGAGGGATGTCCTACAAAACAACTTGCCTGGACTCTTCAAATAGGTCAGTATCAAGAAGGGCACTGGAGACTGTTCTGGATAAAAGGAGGCTAAAGAGACATGACAATTAAATGCAATATATGATCCTTAACTGGATCTTGGACCCAAAACAAAAACAAAAACCAACTATAACTGCTGGTGGGAAAGTAAATGGTACAGCTGAGTTGGAGACAGGTCTGGCCATTCCCCCAAAAGTTAAACACAGTTACCATATGACCCAGGAATTCCACTCCTAGGTGTATACCCAAGAGAAATGTGCACATAAAAATTGTTCACTATTATTCATAGCAGCATTATTCGTAATGGCCCCAAAATGGAAATAACTCAAATGTCCATCAATAGATGAGTGAACAAAATGTTGTATATCGAAATATGATTCAGCCATCTAAAGGATGAACCTCAAAAATAATACACCAAGAAAAGCCAGTCATATACATCACATATTGTGTGATTAAATTTATATGAAATGTCCAGAAAAGGCAAATCCAGAGATGAAAACTAGATGAGCACTTACCTACGGCGGGAGGTGGGATGGCTGGGAGTGGGGAAGGGAAGCGATTACTTACAGCTTTCTTTTTAGGGTGATAAAAATGTTCTAAAAATGATTGTAAGGGTTACACAACTGAATATTGTAAAAACCAATGAATTGTAAACTTTAGATGAACTGTATGGTATGTGAATTACATCCCAATAAAGCTGTTATTTTAAAAAACTCAACTATAGGAGGCTGAGTGGGAGGATCACTTGAGCCCAGGAGTTGAGGGCTGCAGTAAGTTATGATCCCACCACCATACTCCAGCCTGGGTGACCCAACGAGACCCTGTCTCCAAAAAAAACACAACTCTAAAGGACACATCATTGAGACACCTGGGGAAATTTAAAAATAGACTATATATAAGACGGTAGTAGTGTTATCAATGTTAACTTTATTGAGTTTGACAACTGTATTATGGTTATGAAGGAACATAACTTAGGAGATACCTGCTAAAGTATTTATGGCTGATTTATCATAATCCCATAACTTAATCTTAAAAAAAAGATTCAGCAAAAACCACATATATGCATTGTGGGTGCCCATGTGTGTAAGAACAAAAAAAAGCAAAGGTGGCAATATATTGATAACTGGTGATCTAAGTACAGGTGTATATCATACTATTCTTAACAATTTTTCTGTAGTTTGAAATTTTTCAAAATAAAAACTTGGGAGAAATAGAAAAGAATAAAATTTAGATTACAAGATTCAGACCATCACTTTATGAATAATAAAATTCCACCTTTTTTCAGCATTAATATAAGTAGAGCCTATCAATCGTGACAGCATAGGAAATTAGTGTCTAAATTGTGCCTTACAGGCACAATTCACTAAGGTGCAAGCAGGTTTTTAATAAAGAACAATATGGGCAGGGCACAATGGCTCACACCTGTGATCCCAGCACTTCGGCAGGCTGAGGTGGGACGATTGGTTGAGGCCAGGAGTTTGAGACCAGCCTCAGCAACATAGTGAGACTCTGTTTCCATAAAAAAAAATTTTTTAATTAGCCAGGTGTGGTGGCATGTGCCTGTAGGCTCAGCTACTCAGGAGGCTGAGGCAGAATGATTGCTTGAGCCCAGGAGTTCAGGGCTGCAGTGAGCTATGATTGTTCCGCCGCACACCAGCCTGGGAAACAGAGCGAAGCCATCTCAAAATAAAAAAAAATACACATATATACACATATGTATATATGGTAATCATCAACATGCTGCTAGGCTCCTATTACTTGACTTTGAGGAACCATCTTATAAAGATTATCTGGTGCCTAATTAGAAAGAAAGAAATTAGACTCAGGTTTAAGATGCTTCTGGTGTTCTGAAATTATTCTGAAAGTTCATTTAATTTAAAAGAACTTCAAACTTGAAATTTTTCATTCATGTATTTATTCCACAGTCAAAATAAATCATAATTTAAAGCCATAACATTTTTAAAAGATAAAGGAGAATTTGTGGCACAGCCGCCTTAACAAAACAGCAGTCTAAAGCGCAACACTAAACAGGTGCTCTCTGTTCCCATGGTGGAATAAATACAAAACAATTACACATAAAATTTCACTGAAGATGTGAGATTAGGCAAATAACCCTTTGAAATGAACTGCCCGACAAATAATTTCTATTAACGTTTTACTGCAAAATGGAAAAATCCCCAAGGTGACTACTAACTCGAACCCCCCATTTCGTGCACCTGGCCTTGCTTGGTGTCTGTCTGCCTTCCTCAGTCACATCCAAATCCAGAAAGGCTTCTGCACCCATATTCAAAAATGCAATCATAAGTCTCCAAGGTCCTCAGCACAGACTGATGTTAATGAGCCCATATGGAACCTTCATCCAGAACCTCCAGGGAAATCAGGAGCACAAATACAAGAGCGCAGTGTCATTTCTTAAAACAATAGTTTTAACTGTCAAATGATCTCTGACAAGCCATATACATTTCATAAACAAACCAAAATATTGTCTTCATATCTTTGTTTTTCTTGCAAAAACGTTAAGTAGGCCAGGCCATCCGAGTAAAAAAAAAAAATAAATTTAACAGAAATAATGAAAATGGAAATTCAAAGGGTTTATGCCAAATAGCAAACCAGTCCTCTGCAGCCTCACTCATTTGTTTTTGGGTTGTGAAGCCATGTAGAGAGCAATCAGGCAGTAGATGGTCCCTCCCACAGTCAGCGCCATGGTGGTCCGGTAAAGCATTTGGTCAGGCAGGCCGCGTTTCAGGTGGACAGGCACACCGTCAGATTTCTTGAAAGCAAGAATTAACAAGGGCAAAGTTGATAAGAAGATTTTACAATTTCAGGCTAATAAAGAACAAATTTGTCTACTCTGTAACTAATTCATCAAAGCATCACAATGGAAAAAGCCCTAATGCATCAGAATGCTGACTGAAACACTAGTATATTTTCTTATAGCTGAAGCTTGTAAATCCAAAGTCATCTCCAAAATGCAGCCTCAGGGAGCATGCATAACACAAATTCCAACTTTCTAAGGCATTTATCACATACACTGCTTAACTAGGAAAGGGGCACTGGTGAATTTTTAAAAGGCAAAGGTAATCAGCAGCTAAACAGAAGTACAAGCACAAGAAATGTTCTCCATTTATTTTTACATTTAGTTTGGCTTCTGATCATGAGTGCACGAAGTCGGAGCACATCAGTTTGACTAACAGGTTCAAGTCCATTTTGTATTCAACTGCCTTCTTTCCCTCAAACTGTTAAACCCCCATTTAGTAATCAGACTCCATAAAATGTTTAATTCATTATTTTTCAGTCTCCAAAATCCCTCTCTACTCCATCTTCAAGACTCCAAATGCCCTCTCAAATGTTACTTATCAGATAAAAAGGTACTAACCTGATCAAAACAAAAGTGTTCTATCCCCAAGACAGACCTGAATCTGGACATATTTTTGAGGCAGGGCAAGCTACCTGGGGCAATAGCAGCAGCAGGCACTTCCACTCCCGTGGCACCTGAGATTTGGGCAGGTCACTAACTTTTCAATAATTTGAGGTAGGCCGGGCGCGGTGGCTCACGCCTGTAATCCTAGCTCTCTGGGAGGCCGAGGCGGGCGGATTGTTTGAGCTCAGGAGTTCGAAACCAGCCTGAGCAAGAGCAAGACCCCGTCTCTACTAAAAATAGAAAGAAATTAATTGGACAACTAAAAATACATAGAAAAAAATTAGCCGGGCATGGTGGCATATGCCTGTCGTCCCAGCTCCTCGGGAGGCCGAGGCAGAAGGATTGCTTGAGCCCAGGAATTTGAGGTTGCTGTGAGCTAGGATGATGCCACAGCACTCTAGCCCGGGCAACACAGTGAGACTCTGTCTCAAAGAAAAAATAATAATAATAATAATAATTTAGAGGTAGATTAACTTTAATAATATTTTAAATTCCAATTCTGGCTTCTCTCTTTTGATCAGCAAACCAAAGAGGGCCTCCTCTACTTCCAGCAACAGCTCAGTAAATTTTAATATCAAACAAGCACAAAACAATTAGAATAGTCAGTGTCATTAAACATGCTATTGCTTTTTCCCATACAACAGTTTCATGGAAAAAGCTATACATGCAATCTGCATACCCTTAAATACTGATGAGGAAATTAAGACCCTTCCCTCTTTTATCAGTATCTACCTACATAAAGTTCTATTAGTTTACAGCTCAAACTAAAATCAAGGGAATTCTATGTAAAGAAAAAGAAAAGAGGTTAATAAACTAGATTAAGACTCAGTTTCAGCCGGGCATGCTGACTCACACCTGTAATCCTAGCACTCTGGGAGGCTGAGGTGCGAGGATCACTTGAGCTCAGTGGCTCGAGACCAGCCTGAGCAAGAGCAAGACCCCCATCTCTACTAAAATTAGAAAAAGTTGGCCGGGTGCAGTGGTGAGCTCCTGTAGTCCCAGCAACTAGGAAAGCTGAGGCAGGAGGATCGCCTGAGCCTAGAGTCTGAGGTTGCAGTGAGCTATGAAGATGTTACTGCACTCCAGCCAGGCTGACAGAGCAAGACTCTGCCTCAAAATAAAAAGACTCAGTTTCATAAGGGATTTTTTAAGCCTATTTATTTCACAGGCTTCTCTGTCCTAGAGTATCTTCCCTCACCTGGAAAAACTTCTGCAGCTCTGGAACTTTGTTTTTCCCAGCATAATCATACGCTGAATCGGAGGTCAGTTTAGTTGGTGTGGCAAATATGATAGGTGGTGCTTCTGTGGAAACCACAGGCTTTAATCCCTGTAGGAAAAAAGGAAAATGGCAAATTGGAAGTATGTCTGAACAAAACTTTCAGGGTGCAGGCTGTCTGAAATAGTGGAGGCAGCCATTCAACCACACATAAGAGAAGGAAAGTCTCCCCAACTCTGCATTACAAGGCCTTTAGTTGATCTTCAAACTTTTGACAAAACACCCCAATCCATTTTACCAGAGCAAACCCTGTCAAGAACTCTCTGCCATTGAGCCTGGGGGTGTGGGGATAGAAACAACAAAAACAAAGGCCCAATCTGAGCTTCCAGAAATGCCTATTGTGTCTATCTTCTTATCAAACCAACAGAACATTTATAATCTGTTATGAACTTCTGATTAAATTTCATAAGGGACTTGCCTATCCCTTTTCTCTTCTGGATGAGTTAATGTACTAATATGGAATGCCTAACCTCAAGGGGAACTTCAGAAACTTTTCCAGACACATAGTAAAGAAATATCTCATTCTGGAAGCCTGTCATGGTTTAAAAAAAACATACACAAAAACAAAAAAAACACTTGTCTTCCAGGACCAGAAAACAAAAAAATTATAAAGTAACTGAACTTTCCAGCATAAATAAACCCATAAGTTAAAAACATATATAGTAAAAATAAGAGGGAGAGGGGATGGAAGGAAGTACTGACACAAACTACAACATGGATAAGCCCTTAAAACATAATGCGAGTGAAAGCAGCCAGTCACAAAAGACCACATGTATGAATCCATTCATAGGAAGTCCATAACAGGGAACTCTAGAGACAGAAGGTAGATTCGTGGTTGCTTAGGGATGGGGTGGGGAATAGGAGATAAGAGCTGAAGGCTATAGGTTTCCTTTGGAAGTGATGAAAATGCTCTAAAATTCACAGTGGTGAGGGTTGTACATATCTGTGAATACACTAGAAACTACTGAATTGTACACTTTAATTGGGCAAATTGTATGGTATGCAAATTATATCTCAATAAAGCTGTTTAAAAAAAGAAGAACCTAAGAGGAACCCTGGTTTTTCATCTGAAGGAGTAAACCTACAGTGACAAATATATAGATGGCTCTCCAAAATAAACTGCAGATTAAAATAAGGAGCTAAGAGTTACAAACCAACAAAATCATCCGTTTATATTAAATTCTAACTAGGAAAAATAAAGTTTTGAAGTTGGAAAGCAGAGTTCAACCCCAGTCTCTTCACTTTACAGACAAAAAAGGAAACCACTTGCCAAAATTAATATAGTTATCGGTCTCCTAATTCTTGTCTCTCAAAGAAACCTAAATTATAATTGACAAGGCCTACTCTAAAGATCAGATATTGAAAACCTCAATGTCACTCCCACCAGGCAGGCATTAGGATCAAAGGGGCAACAAAAAAGTATGAAAGTAAACTTGAGTTCTGTTTCTTCTGACACAGTCCAGTAAATGGGAATGAACCACAGTCTGTTCTCTGTAATGTATTCACTCATTCAACATATATTACAGATCACTCTGTACTAGAAATACACAACGGGTAAGACCGCCACCATCTCTGCCATTACAGATACTAATGTTATAGAGTAACAGCAGCTAATGCCTGTTTAGCCCTTGTTATGTGCTCGGCATCATGCTCAGCATTTGCCATGCACTACCTCATTTAATCCTGACAGCAACTCTAGGCAGATACTACTGTTCCCATTTTACAGGAGAAAACTAGATCAGAGAAGGTACCTTGCCTAAGATCATATAGGGAAAAGACAGAGCCAATTTTTAAAATTCAAGCCTCTCTAAAGTCCAGAGCCCTTTTAAGTATTCCATTACTCACACCCCACCTTCCCATCAACTATTGCTTAAAAACAACAAACCATTTAAAGAAAGTTTGGTAAGGTGTTGGCCTGTATTTAGTAATATAACACTCAAAACAGAGACAGGGAGTCAGAGAGGCGCAGGGAGAGGCCCTACTACTGAGACAATAAGGACCTCTACTTGAACTGGAGAATGTTAGCTACTCCTTTACATCATTCTGGGAGCTCACTGTATTTTCTCTCACAATGATCATTTCCCCTTGAATGCAAAAATTTTAAAAACCCTTTCTACCAAGCATCTCCAAAACTGGTTTGAAAGTAAATCCATGTTCTGACAGGACTAACGGGAGTATTTTTTAGAAGGAATTCAACCTAACTGCTTTGTGTCTGTTGACCCATCCAGTGATTCAAAACTATAGCAAAGTTTTTGAACAGTATCATCTGAAAACAGGAGTATCAGCCATCTTAACAGTTTTAAATAATTCCACGTTTCCATTTACAATATTGTGACAGTTTAGAATACAGAATTTAAAGTTACCTATCTCGTTACCTAATTCCATCAATTATTATGAGTTCTATATTCTCCAATCTTTTTATATGCTTATTTTAATAATTTCATAGTTACAGTGTAAAATCCTACATTCTGCTTTTGTTTATAATAATTTTTTTTTCAGATTCCTACAGTCTCCTTAACTGTTAAATTTACTCTTCACAACTCTGTAAATGAGGTATTATCAGCCCATATTACAGATAATTAAAACAAAGCTCAGAGATTCCAGAAGGAAGATGACAGTCAAATTCACATTTGTAGTACCCCATACTACCAATACATACTATCAGTAATTCAGCTGTCTTGGCCCCACAGGTAAAGGGAATGAGTATGGTGGTGATGTACTTCACCTACCCATCATTAACACGTTGATTGCCACACTAGAAGAAAGAAATTTTTTTCCTTGGGGCCACAGTGTTTTATTATGAAAATAGAATAAAAACTTC